CGACGATATACCCAATCCCTTCGATGACGACTCGTGTGGTACAGGCTGCGAGAGGTGTTACACTTTGTGCGTTAGCCGTTCTATGAGAGAGGCCGGATAATGGCGTCAGAACTTTGCGGAGTTTGCGGCACAGGTTGATGGAAACGAGGAATAGAACGGCTCCGGTGTCGACAAGCGCCATGACGACGATACCATCGACTGACACTTCAATCACGTTAGCTGGACAGGGGCGAGGACTTCTGCATGGCGACGGGGACGCAGTTCGTGCCTCGGGAACTGCGGCCGTTAGTTTTCCTGGTCGGTGGGTCCGAAACGGCGACGCATAGGGGAAAGCGAATGTCGACGTAGAGATGGGGAGCGGCGGGTCGGGCCGTGTGGACGATCAGAAGGAAAGGAAGAGGAAGGAGGGCTTGAAGGCGTAGAAGAAAACTGAGGGTCGAAAGAGGGCATTCGTCGAACGTTCTGAGCAGCCTGGCGACGGCGACAAGAACGTGCCACGTGGCCAACACCACCACAAGCAAAACATATGGGACGGTTGTCGTAGGTCCGCCATTGATCGGAGTAGACTCCGACTTGCGGCTGTGGGGCAGAAAACTGCGGCCGAGGTGGTATCGGCATAGGCGGCGGTGAATAGGTTGGTGGCGAAAAGGGCGGCGGCGAATACATAGGCGCTGGCTGGAACGCAGGCTGTCGAGGTCGAGCAACGGCCTCAGCGTACGTGAGAGGTGCGGCGATTGGGGGCGGTTCACGGGCGGGAGGAAGAACTTGTGCGACCTGGTCTTGAATGAAGTCGCGGAGTGTAGACGTGAATCTGCGTGATTGATCGGGTACGCAAGACATGAAAGAGAGCTGACGAGCGACCTCAGTGCGGATGAACTCCTGGATCTTGGAGAAAAGAGGGGCATGGTCTTCTCCTACGCCAAGGTTGGAAAGGCTGGACGAAGAGTCGTCGAGCACCGAGGGACGTCGGGTGCAAAGACATTGTCTGCGCAACTCGTCAAAACTCTGGCATAGCTCGGTCAGTTCTAGTACAGTGCGAGGAGTCTTAGAAAGCTACATTTGAAAAGCGTCGTCCTCCAAGCCCTTCATGATATGATTGATTTTAAGGTCTTCGGACATCGACTCGTTGACTCGCTTGCAAAGGTCCAGAACGTCCTCAATATGGCTTGTGAAATTCTCACCAAGCTGCTGGGACCGAGTATGTAAGCGTTATTCAGCACGGCGTTTGCGTACCTCAGGCCACCCGAAAACTTGTGTGAGGCGCGTTTTGAAGACCGACCATGTAGGGAGTTGCGCTTCGTGGACCACAGCTTGGCCACGTTCGACAGGTAGAAGGAGACGTATGCCAACTTGGCGGCGTCATCTCATTTGTTGTGAGTACTCACTCGCTCGTACATTGAAATCCAGTCGTCAACGTCCTTGTCTTCTGTGCCTGAGAAAACAGGGGGATCTTGCAGACGCTGAGAACGAGCGCAGAGAACAGCAGGCGGTGCCGGTGGAGTAGTTGGAGCGGCGCTTGCGTCGGTAGGCATAATGGATGGTAAAATACGATTCCGAAGCTCCAGGGTGATCAAAACCCAGCAGAATCCACCACTTTTAACGGGGTTTATTTGCAGCGCAGAACGCAGAAAGCGAAGCGGTCAGCAGCGTCCGGCCAAGCACAGCAAGCACGAGCTTATGCTGATGGCGATGCCCCTGATGCGCCGAGAAATGCCGCTGAAGCTCCTCTTCTTCACTACAACATATATGTCATGACTGTCATTATTTACATTTCAAAATGCTGCACCTCTTGCAGTGGTTTTTTTTGCATGGCATTTTGAAAAAGTGGTATTGTACGCCATGATTGCATGGTGAACAGAAGCGACAGACCCAAACATGAAAATCATGACATGCGTGTCATGTTACAACATGACTACATGCCACGCTCCTGATGCGCCCGCAGCCGTTTCGCTATCGTCACTTATAACAAATTTGGTATTACAGTACCTGAATGGACGACGAAGGTATGTAACTGGTGCAAAAATGATAATCATGAGATCTGTGTCCTGTAACAACATTACTACATGCCACGCTCATAGGATGCTGGCGGCTGTTTAGCTAGCTTCACTTATCCCAAATTTGGTGTAACTGACGTAAATAGATAATGAAGGTATGATACTGGTGCAAACATGATAAACGTGAGATGCGCGTCATGTAACAACATGACTACATACTACCCTCATGATGCGCTCAAATTGCGCTCGCAGCCGTTTCGCTAGCTTCAAGTGTACCAAACTCGGTATTACACGACGCGATTGGACGACATGATCAGCGAGACTTCCAAACATGATAATCCCGACATGCGTGTTGTCTAACAACATGACTACATATGCTTCACTGATGATGCGCTTGCGGCCGTTTTGCTAGCTTCACCCAGCCAAATTTGGTATTACGTGACGCCATTGAATGACGAAGGTATGTGACTGGTGCTAACATAATAATCATGAGATGCCTGTCATAGGAGAACATGACTACATACCACAGTCAAGGCGCCAAGACATTTCGGGATGATGCGTTTGCGTGCTCACCGGCGTTCATTTTGACGCGTCACGCCGGCGTTGTGACGCCAGGCGCTGGTCCTGCCATGTACTCGCAGGTGCTTGGCGTGGTGCGTCGCTTTGATGCATGCACGTTTAATCACGTCTGGCGTCCCTCCGTCACAAAAAGATATAGATGCAGTGTTGTCTGGTTAATGCAACGGCGCGTCCGTCGGCGCAAGGCGCGAAACCGATGGACGCTGATCGCACTGGTCACGCCTGGCGTCAGACTATGGAGTGCTCGCTTTTTGCTAACGCTGCGCCTTTGTGCCCAGCGTGCGCGCACGTCAATGCTACATTGGAGTATATTGGGTCCTTCATGATGTGCTTGCAACCGTTTTGCCAGCTCTACATATACCAAATTTGGTGTTACGTGACGTCACGGGATGACAAAATATATGCCTGGTGCAAACATGATAATCATGACATGCGTGTCATGTAAGAACATGGAAACAGACCACGCTCTTAGCGTGTTCACGGCCGTTTCGCCAGCTCCAGATATACTAAATTTGGTATCACGTGACGTTAGTAGATGATAAGGGTATACGACAAATCCCAACATCAAAATTATGACACGAAAACCATGTACGGCATTATTTCACCTCGCAAGGTTCTGCTGAATTTAAAGTGACGTATCAACATTTTTCAATTGTGCTCCGCATATCATCGATTTCACTGTACGTGGGATCTGCCAATTTTTTATTCAAACTCATGGCAAAGCCTTCACGCTCATGCCTATGTCCATTCACTGATCGCTACTCACTCACGTTCCTACTGACGTCTATTCACCCGTACTGGTACTGAAGTCCGTAATCATGGCGTGTCTGATTTATAGAAACTCCCTCCCCTTTATACTCACGCCTACTCCTAAAAATTCGCACGGACATACGTTTGCATTGAATCTTACTGAATTCTTTTGATAGTCACTCTCCTTCATATCCTCGCCGGAGGGCAACATTCGTTTTAACTCGCATTCAAGTTCACGTCCACACGCACTCATCAGTACTCTCTCAGGTTAATACTCACTGCTTCTCACACTAATAAATATTCATTCACACTGATAATCATCACTATCCACAAAGTACACGAATTAACACTCATTTGAAGCCATGAGGGTAAGTGAGTGTACTCTCGAATGTGGTGTGTGCGCCAAAAAGCAAGCGCACGTGTGTGTGCGATGGTGAAAGAAGAAGATAAGGACGCTGAGGTGCGCGCTCAGGAGGTGTGGACACGGCGAGTGAAGTAACTAAGAAGAAAAAGGTAGGGGCAGACTCTGTGTGTCATTCGATACAGTAGCATGAGTGGACCCAAGTGTCGTGCCCCAGTGTTGCGGTACACGTGGGGAGGCTGCGGGCATCATGTGGCTGTGAACACTTCAAAAGCGCAAGCATAAAGCTCTCTCTCCAGTTGCCAGGAACCCGTTAAAACTACCCTGAATCTGCCCTTTCACCCCTAAGCACCTCTAGTCGTCACCATGCCCCAGTGCTGTTCCTCACCCAACCCAAAGTAGACGCAAGTGAGTCAGCATGTGTCAGGTGAGAGCTCATGACTTTTGGGAACACTAATGCGCTAAATCATGCTTTCTTTCTGCGTTTGTGTCGCTTGCTTAAGTGTGTAGGCTCCTTGTGTGTGGAAAGTGTTGTTTCCAAACCTTTAACTAGCCCCGCCGATTCCTGGCATTATGGGGGTTTATCCTTTAAATTCGAAGAACCATGAATTCTATTAAAATCAGTGAGGAGGCCGAACTAGACTTCCTAAAGTTCACTTCAAACAAGCCTTACCAGTTCACTCGCAAACGTTAGCACCATGCATTGCTTGAATAGTAAATGAGTTACATAAAATTGAATCACTTTTCTACGTAGTAAGGAGAAGTAGGAGGAACCTTAAAATTTTTTAAGCTAAAATTTTTGGCACGAGTCTTACTGAATCCAGTCTATGTACGTTTTTTGTGCATGCACATACTTAACCCGATATAATCATAGCTAAAAATTAAGCGAAAATTCGGTCATTACCTTCGCAAACGTTCAATATTGCATACTACTTTGATTTCGATATGATACTTTCTAATACTCAGTGTTATTCTAATAATGCGCTGATTCACAGTGCTCACAATTTAAAATTTTAACAGATAGTGAAATAATTTATTGTTACTCGTGCTGACTACTTATCATGTCTAGAGACTGTGTTTCTATCTTAGTCGCACAATTATTGCCTATGTTATCAGGTTAGCTTATTTGAATGTACAGACATTTCCATTGTTTTATGTTTCTCATGTTTTGGCTCAGCAAATATGTCTTTATTTTTCAATTTTCATGAACACATTTCAGAGTTGCACTCATTATAGCTTATAACCCAAAACTGCCTACAATAATTAAAAAATGGTAATTAAATTTTGAAATTGTCACAGTAAAGAAATATCCCGCACGTCAGTTTAATGCAGACACATACATCACTTCACATGTAGTTTCTTTATAAGCCACTAATAATATTTCCAGCAATCAATAAGGACATCCCATGGATCACAAGTTTCTTGGCCATTGCATCTGCCTAATTCGCATGTGTAATTGACGCCAGATTTCAAGTGATGCCAAGCGTCAGGAGGAGCGGTCTGCAAAAAAATGAAAAAAAAAATACGTTGATCTAAACGAAGATGTAGGACGCTACGAAGGTAGCTTCTTGTTCTTGCTCAGAATTAATTCTTCTACACACTCTTACACTCACGCATGATTATCAAAATACAAGTCTCAAAAGAAAAATGAAGTAGAGCTCCATCACCGTTATTTATAACAGCCGATCTGTTGAATTGTGCAGTTGCACCACTTGTGGACCACACAAAAGTGCCGAAGCAGGCGATAGCAAAGCTAAGAAAGGAGGATGGCAAAGTTGAGCTATGCATTGTACAAGTAAAAGATGAAAGGAAACTAAGAGATTAAAAGGAGAAGTGAAGGTGACGAGGAGTGTAGGGAATGTTGGGTAACGAAAAGAAGGAGTAATTTATGGTAAATCATGGCATACGCATTCACTATAGCCTATAGTAAGTGGTTAGAAAAGTGAAGGTCAAGATTGTTGGGAAGGTAAAGAGGAGAAAGAGGACTAAACATTACGGTAGCTTCACTCTACAGAAGCCAAACCAGAAGGAAATTCTCAGAAGGGCCACGTTCTTTACTTATCTTGACTTTTCTTGTTCTTTTGACTTTCCGCGTCCTTTTTTATTCTTTCGTTTTTCTCCTATTTCGCTTTTTTTCTGCAGAGAAAAGCACCGTCGTGCATAGTATATCGCAGAGGGTGAGCAGGGTTACGAGTAAAGAGCTGCATAGAAGGAAAGTTAATGTATTTGATTGACTGATATGTGGGGTTCAGCATCCCAAAACCACCATATGATTTTTATGGACGCCGTATCGGAGGGCTCCGAAAATTTCGACCACCTGGGGATTTTAACGTGCACCCAAATGTGAGCCTGCGCATCTACAGATTTTTCGCCTGCATCGAAAATGCAGCCGACGCAGCCGAGATTCAATCCCGCGACCAGCGAGTCAGCAGCCTAGTACCTCAGCCACAAGACTACCGCAGCGGGGCGAAGAATAGCGTAGCCACGTGTAATGTTGTCACTGGTCATAGTGCGGACTACTCTGTTTCGCCAGCTGTGTGCCTGCATTGCTATCAAGCGTTTTGTGTAGTGATATGTGGCGCTTTCGGATAAATGGTACAAATCACAATGTCTGTTCACTCTCTTACCCCTAGCTTGATTGTTGGGCTTGCGTGACGGAGAGAAAAGCGCACAAGCCCTTTCTTTTGTTTTTAGGGGCGAAGTGCTTTATGGCGTGGCTTGTGCGTCCACCGTTGTCGTTGTGCGTAACGTGTGGGCCATACCCGCATACCAGGGGCATACCCGCCCTTGGGCACATATCCGCATGTCCATCTGTTACAAAGCACGTAGCATTGTTCTCGCGCTCACTGTGTTAACAAAGTGCTGACAGCAAAAATGTGACACATACTCTCGTTTTGTCCTTTGATTGTCCGCTGGATGGCGGTATTTGTATATGATGAATATATGATAAAAACAAGCGAGACGGCGGTATTTGAAGACGCATGGACGGAGGGATGGACAAACATACAGATAGACAGACAGACGGTCAGACGGACACTCTGACGGACGGACGAACGTACGCATAGGCGGAGGCATGAATGGACGCACCAACGGGCGTGCGTATGAATGAACTGACACATGGATAGACGGACGCATGGACGAACGCACGAACAGGTGCACGTACAGACGGACGTATGCACGGACGGAAGCATGGACGTATTGATGAACGCTTTGCCCCACTCATTATTATTCATTTTATGAATATGCTGTTATTTTTGTGCCGCGAATGACGGCTGAAAGTTTCGCCAGGCCCAGCGAACTTGAGGAAGTGTTACTGTTTATAAGAGCGAAAAGAACAGAAAAGTGAGCCCCGTAAGTGTCTGCGTCAGGGTGCGACACCTCAACAGTAGCTCACAAGAGATGGGGGTGAGGAGGGATTAAAAGTATAGGAATAAAGGTATATATATAGAGAGAGAGATGCGCTGGGTCAGCGAGTGGGGACATATCGAAGGATAGGAGAGATAGGAAAAATTTAAATACGGTTGCAGGAATCCGAGGATGGGGCACTGCTTGCGATAGCTCTCATCAGCGTCAGGAGATGGCGTAGGGCAAGTCCAGTAGGTCAGAGATACGCTGTCGTCAAAGATCGTAGTCAGTAGGTGACGTAGGGCCAGCCCAGTCGGCCAGAACTACTCTGACGTCGTAAATCGCGAGGGCAAAACCGGTCGGCACGGAATCCAGCGAGCAAGTCTCCCGCTTGCGTCGGTTTGAAGGACCATGCGTGCTCGCAGCAGTTGCCTGGCGTCCTAAGAATTGTTTCAAGAGAGTGAGGTTGAGGTGATGTTCGCACTTATTAGCTTTCACAAGTTCTTAACCCGAAAGTATTAGATTCCAATGTCCGCCACGGCTCTACTGGCGCATTTACGTCAAATAGATGACGTTGTCTAATGTACACGCATATTGAGAAAAAAAAAACGTGCACAGGCTCTACTACATGGGGGCGTCGAACCAACGACCTATTAAACTGCAGCGTACACAGCAGAGAACAGTGTACTTTACGTATATTTCATTACTTGTGATGGTGCTGCATGAAATTGGCGCATGTGGAGGCTGGTAAGTGTTTATGGAATGGCAAACGCTGTGAAGTGCAAGTGAAACAGCCTGTGGAGGACAGTCGCCACCTCCATTTCACATCCGACTTTCCTCACCTGATCAAACGCTTGAGAAACAGTCTGCTGAAGTGCCCTTTCAATACACCAGATGGACATGTAAATAGTAACCCAGCTATTTGGCCTAGTTCGAAACAATTCATCCTTGAAAAGTGCGAAGTAAACTGACGTCTGTGTAAGTAATTCTTCCATTTTCATATCAGACAAAGAGATATCACTATTATTTGCTATGTTGTCATTGTCTAGTCATTTCACGTGTATCACTAAGTGATTTGTTCACGTAACCTACGCAGTTCTGTTAGGTTAAGAAGCGTGAATTTTCATAAATTACACGATAGTTGTTAAAAAGCGCCCATCCTGTGTGTATGTAGTGTTTGTCCCTATGTTTCCTTCGCGCTACTTATTGGTGACGTGTGAGTGAGTGTTATGTTCACCTTCAGAAAAAATTCTGGCAGTAAGTTTAGTTACAATCAGTTTTTATGATGCTGTAGTCACATATATTTGTTTACTTAGCTTGTCCAGATTTCCCCTTTCAGGTTTCAATTGAACCCATCAGACGGGCTTTTAGTATTTACTGCAGTAGTGTGACACTTAAGGCCATGCGAGGCATTACAAAATGCCATATGCAACCAAATGCTTTCGAAAAAACAAGAGTTGCATTGGCATTTCAACTATTTGGGCAAAATATGCTGTAAGCTCTTCAACTCTGCAAAGCAGAAATTCAGGAAAAAACTGGAGTCATCGCAGCTACACAAGATTTTTTCAGGTATGCAGAGATCTATTGGGCACAAGCTAGCCAGTATTCGACAATGTATTTCTGAAAAAAATATATATAATTTGTCTAATATTATGCACATATCAGTTTAAAACTTTATGACAAAACATCTGTTGTAGTAAATGCTCCCAAACTAAATCTTCCCATTGGCACGTCTCTCTCTCTCTCTTTTTGCAGGAGGATTAACAACTTAATAGCAGCCATGACTTCACGGTTCCCGTCTAAAGCTTTGCGGCCATACTCATCTTCCCGCGATACTATTGCTGACTTTTAGAAATATTTGACCGCTTGGGAGCAGCATGCAGGTGGAGTCGGAGGTTTTATCAGCGAGTCACCAGCCACAGGTTTGCGGGGGACGCTGTCGAGCACGCTTGAACGTTTGTCATACCGGACCAAGATAGGATATGAATATATTATGACGTCGCGACTAAGTCAAGACTTCCTCAATAACTTGATCAGCATAGTACGCCAATCTTCTGGGTGCAACGACAACCCTACACCAACTCAGTTTCTTTTGACCATGAATTGTATGCCATTTTACAGCTGAGTGAAGACTGTAAGGCATGCGAATGCAGACCCATGTGCCTTAAGTGCACTACTGGAAACTGAAGAATGTTGCATTACTTAGGATACAGTGAGCACCGTTTGGGATAGAGTTGAGAGCTTCATTGATGCAGGAGATTTGCCTGCAGCAGAGACAGCCTTGTCATCATCTCGCGATCACAACCAGCATGTGGAAAGGAGTGATTCACAATTTATATACTATGTATCTGGCTATGCCACTGGTAAGTGCGTGAAAAAGACAAATTGTATTCTTTCCATGCAAGCCTTGACATTGTCGTCCACTGCAGAAAGTTCTGTCGTTACCTCGTATACACGACAGAAAGACCAGGGAGGGCTTCTTTACCCTACCACTACATTCTTCAATTTTGTGAAAATGCTCGAAAACTTGTTCACGGAGTGTTTCAGCAGGCAAGAACTGCATGCTGACAGTATAATGGATATACTTGCCCTACTGAGGTCAAGGTGCACTAGCACCGTTGGTCGTCTTAAACACGCCGCTGAACTTACAAGGAAGGTTTTCGGCTCCTATATTACTACATGGCTGCATTTTTTTGTGAAGGTAATCAACTCGGAACAGCGAAGCCGAAGAGAAGCAGCCAAGCACAGAAAAATAAGCAAGAATGTATGAGCCAATTATGCAGTCTGTAGAGTGTTCTCTCTAATGTTGTACTCTCGAATCAAGCTCTGTACTTGTTCTCCCCCAATAAGTAGGTGGGGCCAGATCTAAAAAGCTCCAGATGTGTGACCTGAATCAGGCCCAGCAGCACTGATATCTAAAGAGAATATAAGAAGAGAAGGCATCACACTTCAGACTTTCAAAAACATATTTCTTGATTACCATAAACACGCATTTCATTATCTTGAATTTGGCCTTGGTGTATAGTTATTGATGCTTCTGAAGTGCCTTGTATTTGGTTAGTAGATTGGGACTATTTCAAACAAAATGTATAGATATGTTTCGTTACGTGAATGGGTGAACAAAGGGTTCCCATTATGTGAATGTGTTGAACAAA